GTGGATTTGCTATGTCTATGCATTGATTGATGACCAGCATAAAGTGTTTAAAGTGGCAATTTAGAATGTGGTGCTCAAACTGCCAGAAAAAAAACAAACGTAGTTTATTTTAATCTTATTCTTATTTCTTTGTTCTTCAATTTCATACTCAACAACAATAGAGATATATAACAGTCCATTGCATTTGTGATCCAAAATGGATGTGGTACACACGAAGTTAAGTTAATTCACACCAAAACCAGCTCGTCTTATATCACAGAAAAACAAAAACAAAATAACTTCGTGCTTTCGTTGTCATATGCATGTCAACAACTCGGGCATATCCTATATATATTTCCTAGAACACATACATAACTAAGTATGATATGACAAATTACAGAATATATCGCTCACTTTTATAATGACACTGACATCTTATATTAGAAAACGTCCGGTTACATGCAGCAACTGCATTATACTTAATAATTATACTGTTGTACATAGGCAACCTTTATTTCTGACAGTGTTTCATAGAAGAGAGGTCCAAGTCAAGGCAGATGAAACAACGGGGCTCTCAACGACGCTCATCGCTCTTATAATCACAATCTCTCTGGTGGCAATTATTTTCATCATCGTCGTGATCGTCCTGGTAATCTTCGTTAAGTAAGACAACATTTCATATAGTTATCTTGAAATCGTGGCTTGCATTTCCAAGATATATATTTTCAACATTTGAGCAATAAACTCATGGTATAGATGTAAAGTCAAGTCTCGTTAATCCGAAACTCGTTAGTCCGGCAATCAGCTTTCTCCTTCACAAATGATGGGGACCGATTTAATCAGTGCCATTTAGGCCTGTAAATTCGACAGTCTCGCACTCCGACTCCGACACACCTTATTTGTAACGAATTGTGAAAATCACTTATTAATCTGTTAAACATAACTTTTTGGGGGTCAAAGCATAAGAGTCTTAACATATATTTAACTCAATCATGTTTTGTGCTGCAGTGGCAAATATTATTGATTGGATAAATGCTGGTCTTAAAAATCTCATATCACTCCGAAGTGATGGTAAATGATTGTTGTTCCTGTCGAGGATGCCGATAGCACATCATATGTCTACATGTTCCTAATTTGATAAGAAACATTTTGCAGATCAGGGGATCTTGGAAGTGACATAAGTGCCATAAACTAGACGTGCCCAGATGTTATACTTTCAGATTTAAGGTTGCAATGCAATTAGAAGCTGTTTTCTAAAACCTAAAATGACACAGTGTTAAAGCAGGAAGCGCTAATACGATTGTTGTTAACTTAACTGGAACTACGAGACTCCTAATTTTAATAAGCAAATGACGTATACATGTTTTGGCTGACACCGGTTCATTTCTGTAATATCTGATGAAACAAAAATTAGGTCATGCGTCTATCTTCACCTTGCTAGTGATAAAGGGCATCCTTGTAGCCCGACATTGCTGCTGATAGTCTCTTTTATATTGCAACTCTTACAATGATATGTTCAAGTTCATGAGGTAGTTTGTGAGTCGCCACCTGTCTCAGGTACATGATGGTATAAAGGAAAATTTCAACAATGGGTCAAAGTACTAAGTGAGCGAATCCGTACAATAAGCCTACTGCTTGTGACATTTACATGAATATGCTTGTATTGGTATCCACATAATGATGATGGTTGTATATGTCACACTACATTTAGAACTAATGATGCCTTCCTATTACTTGCAGGAGAAAATCAACCAGTCGCCAAACAGGTAATGCAGCAAATAAAACATTGTCAGCTACAAGTATTCACGCCCGTTACAGCGCAACTTATCCCCCAACTCCTCATCCATGGACAACTGTCATTGTAAACTTATAATACAAAGGAAACCCACATCTGGCATGTATACTTGTAATTCTAAAACAATGATGTTTGAAGTCTATTTGTCTGCAACACATATTCATATACATGCCCAACAAAGATAACTCAAAAAGTGTTTGAAATATTCCTACGATATCCTTGAGCAGTTTTCAAGGTGGGGAGTTGGGTGGGATGGGGTTTATTTGATCTATTCTTTGCTCATTTTTGTGTTTTACACCCCTCCATGTAATTTCCCTTTCCTATTTTTACCACGCTGTGTATGCCTTCCTCATTCGCAAGACGGCATTCAACATTTTAAAAGTTTCCTTTAAAAAAATATACGAATTAGGTACACTAAATGAAAATAAAATGATATGTTGAAGTAATATATTGTTTTGTGTTTGCATGATGCTTTTACTGCTTCATTTATATTACACTTTTAGCGAACACCTGCTGCCATCACTGATTTTCAGAGATCCATGCATCTAATTTTCACCGATATTTTGTCTTTTACACCCAAGTGAATCTGTTTCGTCGGGTTAACGTGACAGGCCATTTTCTGGCGTTGACGTTTCAGATTTATTATATGCCAAGCATGCACCATTAAGGGAGGCCATCATTTGAATCTACTTGATTAAAAGGCTGGAATTCAGATCAACTCCTAATCTGTTTTACGTGATGTTTACTTATCAACCTTGCATATTTTGTATAGCTAAAGTAGTAAATAATGGATGGATTAAGTTGACCATTGGAACAATCAATTTAAAACGTCTCGATTTCTTGCTAAAAAATATTCTATTTGGCGTAAATGCAGTATAGTGATGTCAATAATATGGATGGATTTTTGAAAATATGTGACGCCAGCAGGTGTTCGCGTCATTGGTAAGCACGTTCTATTCCACCGGCAACATTCCTTACTCACACAGTTTGCATAAACAAGCCGGACTAGTGATGATTCTCTGACGCTGCACACATCAACACTCCTCTCATACAACGACAGGCCGTTAAAAATGGTGTATTGATCCAGTGACAGAGTAGTATATGTATTGGGTTTGTTGAAACTGACACTAAGCATATTTAACTTTGATTGACATCTGCTGCATTCAAATGCATAGTATTTGCTACTAACAAGTAGATAAGGAACACTGTCAAATATCCTGTCTCAATTTATATGCATGTTATCGTCATGCTATCAGCATTCTATGGCTGCATTTCATTAGTCAAGTTCGTGTGTGAATATATGAGTTTCAAAGCTATAACTTAAAGGTTGCATTAGGCATGTCAGCATGATTATGGACCAAAAATCGCAAAATAAAATATCCTCACAATACTAGTCTGTGCCTCATTACTGAACATAAACGGAAAGTAACAGTACGAGGAATTAACGGGCGACAGATCTGTCGAACAGCAAGCGTTGATAATGGTTGATAATGCAGATAAGGGAGTTAGTGTGGATGCGGGAATGGGTACAGGTGAGGGTATGTTGAGAAATAGGGTGTGACTGAACGGTTGTCAATGAGAGTTTGGATGTGTATAAATGAGTGGGTGTGTTTGAGGGGTTTGCGTAAGCTGCTGTGAGTGAAGGACTGCATGTGGGAATAGATGTGTTTGTGTGTATATAGGACGTTTGTATCGGGGATAATATTCTGAATGTTATTTTCATAATTACTATTAAATGTGGTTTGTACATATATATAAATATTGTTTTGTGTATTCTCTTTTTGTGTCTCGTAGGCCGGCCGCTGAGTTTTTACATTCTTGCCTTGTCATTGTGTATGTACAGTGGGCGATACTACAATAAAATGTTGTTGTTCTTCTTCTGGTGAGGTCTGTGACCAGTGAGAGCATTGAATGTCCGGCTATAAACTGGTGTGAATGAAGGACAGGATAGGGGCATCCAAGTCACGTTACCAAAGTCCTGTCAAATTGCAATCAATGACCAGTGACCTGTGATGTGCAGTGATGCCTGACCACACAATTACGCTCAATTGCATGCAACTGCTCATTTTCAGATAAGAGTGGCATAAAACCGTTTATTTGCACTGGAATTCACTCTGACCTTTTCTGATAACGTATGACTAGTTTCTTAGCCATGCTTTTTTACGCATCCCATGAGTATTCCTGACAAAGCGTTTGTACATTATAAATACATTGCAATTTTATGATGTTGTGTTTTATTATCTGCTTCTTATAGCGCTATCGCCTTAGTATGACTTATATGCATGTTTTTATTGAGCAAATGTATACAGAGCATCATTCAGAATACATTGTCAACACACATGAATGATGGAGTGATACAGTGTTAAAGGCAAAGGCAAAAGCTATATTTCCACAACTTACAAATTGCGTCTTTTAATGTTCCCTTAGCACCTTCCATTGTACATTCCGAGAGTGGCAAAGTCTTACTTATACTTATATGGAAACTGAACACTTCTTAGCTTAACCACGATGAACTGTGTTGTGGAGTTGTTAAATGATTTCCACAGCTGATGGAACAGGTTTTGCCTTGTTGGGGTATGGGAAACTCAGATTGCGCTATTGTGTCATTGTCTGTCGCGTGTGCGGCGTCGAACAACAACCAAATACTTACCTTTTTTGACAAAGTGTTTGAGTAGAGGGTGTCACCGGCAGGACAGGAGATTTTACCCTTTTCGCGAACGCCTGGTGCCATTATTGATCATCAGACTCGATTATCCACCGAACCTTATTCTATTTTATATATCATATTTTTTCACTGATGCGTCGAATGAAAGTCTTAGATTATGTTGCTTTGACAGTGATGCCCTTACTTTTTACGTGGAATATTCCTTTTATTTCTTTTTTTTCAGTCGTGACTGACCCTGAGGTTCGTGAATGCGAGCCTTTACTTCCAAGTAGGTAATCAAAATAACATAACGTTACGTTGCAATGATGCCATATGCACACACATTCATTAACTTTATCAGAGGAAATCTAACTGAGCAGATTTGAATCGCAACTCTTTGTTGCAGCTGTAGGGACGTAGCAAATGATCAACTAATGTAAGTGATGCATCTGCAGCGGGGATTGTCAAAAACAATATATTATTTGTGAACTCATTTGTAGCCTAATGAGTGTGTGATTGCTTATTCCAGCATACACAAAAATAATGAACATATGTCGCAAGCATCCCATGCACAGTACTTTAAGGCAATGGTCATTGTGATATTCATCGGCAGTACAATATTAAACGGTACAGGCACATTGCTTACTGACATATAGTTGTATTGAATAGGGAATGCATTTACCTAACACAGAGGTCATTAAACCAAAATTGCTCACGATTGTCTTGTAATGAAAGCAGTAAGAAGGTCTTGTTAAGGAAGCAGTGAGAAGGTCTTGTTAAGGAAGCAGTGAGAAGGTCTTGTTAAGGCATCAGTGAGAAGGTCTTGTTAAGGCATCAGTAAGGTCTTGTTAAGGCATCAGTAAGAAGGTCTTGTTAAGGCATCAGTAAGAAGGTCTTGTTAAGGCATCAGTAAGAAGGTCTTGTTAAGGAAGCAGTAAGAAGGTCTCGTTAAGGAAGCAGTAAGAAGGTCTTGTTAAGGAAGCAGTAAGAAGGTCTTCTTATGGAAGCAGTAAGAATGTCTTGTTATGGAAGAAGTAAGAAGGTATTGTTAAGGAAGCAGTAAGAAGGTCGTGTTAAGGAAGCAGTAAGAAGGTCTTGTTAAGGAAGCAGTAAGAAGGTCTTGTTAAGGAAGCAGTAAGAAGGTCTTGTTATGGAAGCAGTAAGAAGGTCTTGTTATGGAAGAAGTAAGAAGGTCTTGTTAAGGAAGCAGTAAGAAGGTCGTGTTAAGGAAGCAGTAACAAGGTCTTGTTGAGGAAGCAGTGATAAGGTCTTGTTAAGGAAGCAGTAAGAATGTCTTGTTAAGGAAGCAGTGATAATGTCTTGTTAAGGAAGCAGTAAGAAGGTCTTGTTAAGGAAGCAGTAAGAAGGTCTCGTTAAGGAAGCAGTAAGAAGGTCTAGTTAAGGAAGCAGTGAGAAAGACTTGTTAAGGAAGCAGTGATAAGATTGTGTTAAGGAAGCAGTAAGAAGGTATTGTTAAGGAAGCAGTAAGAAGGTCTTGTTAAGGAAGCAGTCATAAGGTTTTGTTCAGGAAGCAGTAAGATGGTTTTGTTAAGGAAGCAGTAAAAAGGTATAGTTAAGGAAGCAGTGATAAGGTCTTGTTAAGGAAGCAGTGAGAAGGTCGTGTTAAGGAAGCATTAAGAATGTTTTGTTAAGGAAGCAGTCAGAAGGTCTTGTTAAGGAGGCAGTAAGAAGGTCGTGTTAAGGAAGCAGCGATAAGGTCTTGTTAAGGAAGCAGTAAGAAGGTTTTGTTAAGGAAGCAGTGAGAAGGTCTTGTTAAGAAAGCTGTAAGAAGGTCTAGTTAAGGAAGCAGTGATAAATACTTGTTAAGGAAGCAGTGATAAGATTGTGTTAAGGAAGCAGTAAGAAGGTATTGTTAAGGAAGCAGTAAGAAGGTCTTGTTAAGGCAGCAGTAAGAAGGTTTTGTTAAGGAAGCAGTGAGGTCTTGTTAAGGAAGCAGTAAGAAGGTTTTATTATGGAAGCAGTAATAAGGTATTGTTAAGGAAGCAGTGAGGTCTTGTTAAGGAAGCAGTAATAAAGTTTTGTTAAGGAAGCAGTGAGAAGGTATTGTTTTAATGAAGCAGTAAGAACGTCTTGTTAATGAAGCAGTAAGAAGGTCTTGTTAAGGAAGCAGTAAGAAGGTCTTGTTAAGGAAGCAGTGATAATGTCTATTTAAGGAAGCAGTAAGAAGGTCTTGTTAAGGAAGCAGTCATAATGTTTTTTTGAGGAAGCGGTAAGAAGCTCTTGTTAAGGAAGCAGTAAGAAGGTCTTGTTAAGGAAGCAGTAAGAAGGTCTTGTTAAGGAAGCAGTGATAATGTCTATTGAAGGAAGCAGTAAGAAGGTCTTGTTAAGGAAGCAGTCATAATGTCTTTTTAAGGAAGCGGTAAGAAGGTCTTGTTAAGGAAGCAGTAAGAAGGTATTGTTAAGGAAGCAGTAAGAAGGTCTTGTTAAGGAAGCAGTGATAATGTCTATTTAAGGAAGCAGTAAGAAGGTCTTGTTAAGGAAGCAGTGACAATGTATTTTGAAGGAAGCAGTAAGAAGGTATTTTTGAGGAAGCAGTAAGAAGGTCTTGTTAAGGAAGCAGTGATAAGGTCTTGTTAAGGAAGCATTAAGAAGGTCTTGTTAAGGACGCAGTAAGAAGGTCTTGTTAAGGAAGCAGTGATAATGTCTTTTTAAGGAAGCAGTAAGAAGGTCTTGTTAAGGAAGCAGTGAGAAGGTCTTGTTAAGGAAGCAATGATAAGGTCTTGTTAAGGAAGCAGTAAGAAGGTCTTGTTAAGGAAGCAGTGAGGTCTTGTTAAGGAAGCATTGAGAAGGTCTTGTTAAGGAAGCAGTAAGAAGGACTTGTAAAGAAGCTTAAGAAGGTCTTGTTAAGGAAGCAGTAAGAAGGACTTGTTAAGGAAGCAGTGATAAGGTCTTGTTAAGGAAGCATTAAGAAGGTCTTGTTAAGGAAGCAGTAAGAAGGCCTTGTTAAGGAAGCAGTGATAATGTCTTTTTAAGGAAGCAGTCATAATGTCTTGTTAAGGAAGCAGTGAGAAGGACTTGTTAAGGAAGCAGTGATAAGGTCTTGTTAAGGAAGCATTAAGAAGGTATTGTTAAGGAATCAGTAAGAAGGTCTTGTTAAGGAAGCAGTGATAATGTCTTTTTAAGGAAGCAGTGAGAAGGTCTTGTTAAGGAAGCAGTGATAAGGTCTTGTTAAGGAAGCAGTGATAAGGTCTTGTTAAGGAAGCAGTAAGAAGGTCTTGTTAAGGAAGCAGTGATAATGTCTTGTTAAGGAAGCAGTGAGGTCTTGTTAAGGAAGCAGTGATAATGTCTTTTTAAGGAAGCAGTAAGAAGGTCTTGTTAAAGAAGCAGTGAGAAGGTCTTGTTAAGGAAGCAGTAAGAAGGTCTTGTTAAGAAGCAGTGATAAAGTCTTGTTAAGGAAGCAGTAAGAAGGTCTTGTTAAGGAAGCAGTGATAATGCCTTATTAAGGAAGCTTTAAAAATGTTTTGTTAAGGAAGCAGTGAGAAGGTCTTGTTAAGGAAGCAGTGATAAGGTTTTGTTAAGGAAGCAGTAAGACGGTTTTGTTAAGAAAGCAGTAAGAAGGTCTTGCTAAGGAAGCAGTGAGGTATTGTTAAGGCAGTAGTAAGAAGGTCATGTTGAGGAAGCAGTAAGAAGGTATTGTTAAGGAAGCAGTAAGAAGGCCTTGTTTAGGAAGCAGTAAGAAGGCACATGGCAAAGTTATTCTGCATTTGGGTGTGCGCTGTAAAAGTGGGGTAGTGATAACTTCGGCATTACGTCTGCTGCACCCTAATGATTTTCCTTTTAGAATTCTACTGCATCAGACATGCATTTACTCAATGCAGAAGAAATGGCATTTAACTGAGAGCGCATGTAATTTGTGTTTCGGGTGGCTTGATACAGGGGTGCTTTTGACAACAAAGGTGGATTCAGATGGATCTCAGTGTCTTCAACCATATTTGGTAAAGTGAAAACAATGTATCATGAGTAATGTCTCTGGTGGGGAAGTTGTGGGCATTTAATGAGGGTTTCGATGGTGGCATCAGTTTGAATAAGTTTCATTGAAAATTAATAATTATGTATCTATGATATACGAAGGCTGTGCAGTGGGCCAAATTGTGATGTGTATGCATCATTTGTGTAATATTATTTATTGTATAACTTGAATGTGTATGTTTAAGCATATACTTATTTTTTTATTTACATAATCAATGTTGCTACATTCTCTCTTTTTAGGAGCTCCTGTACCTCCCACCAGCAAGGACAAAACAATGGATGAATACCCAGGAGTCATGGAGAGAGGTAGGTTTAATGTACACATTAAATGTTTAACTAAATTATGTGAATATGACTATGGAAGCGGGCTTTTTATGCTATGCGTCATATACTACCTATCTATGGCTGTACGTGTTCTGGTTGCGACATTTAATTTAAACATGCAACGGGAAGTCAATTGTTCACCTTGAAAAAATACACGGGAACACATGGTACCAGCCATAATAGGAACTTGCATCAGACATTGTCATTACTGATTTGGGAATGTGCCCTGTAAGTATACCTTAACTACTAGTAATTATTTTGGAAGTTTTGCTGAGCAAGTAACCCTGATCAAGCAGCTCACGTTTATTCAAGACTCATATAATTAATGTTAAAGGCCGACATGTGACACAAATATGGATATAATGCGACGCAAAATCGCAGCATAACAAACGAACGTGTTACAAATCTCTAAACGGCACCCCAATAGATGGCTCCAACATTCATACTCATATTCAATTAATACTAGCGCTATGCCAAGACTGACAAGGTATAAAGGAAACAAGGTTTTATGACGACAGCATGCTGGCAGGGTTGTACGAATGGTTGCCAGTGCTGTCAGTGTCAACGTGACCCCCATGTACTGATTACAGTCACAATACCAGGTCACCAACAGCATGCCGTCGTAAAGCATAGACCTATTGTCGCTCCTATATACGTGCATTCAGCCTTTTAGAAGCTATCTAAACTAAGACGAATAACTATTATTTCAGTAGAAATTGATATCAATTTGCTGCCATTCATCATTGCTACAACTATAATTACCAATTAACATTTAGTACCGCCACTACATTGTTTACGCAAAACTCTTTTCATCACTGAGGACTAAAAAAGAGGGAATCTGCACGGATGTATAGCCGATTTAACACAGATGCTCCTGTTGCAAGACATTTTCCCTTGAATTGTTCTGTAATCATGAAGTACTCTACGTAAGCAAGCTAAGTGGTTGGTCTTGGAATGCAATATAGTGAATATAATGATATATACACTGCCCATTAAACGGTTGATCTCTGGCTTTGCTTCAGGTGATAATCAGTCACATACCAAGGCCCTGTATATTTAACTGGCACAATTCTAGTTTCTAGTTCTAGTTCTGGATGCAAGATAAACACGTATCTTATATTAAAGTAACACACTTGAGGGGTAACGTTTCTCTGCTTGCAAGCAAACTTTGTTCTTTACCATTGTTTGCACCCATTGTTGTAGTCACTAAAATATATATCTATTGTTGTGTATGATATACAAACATACATACTGAACCAAACTGAACTTAGAATATATGTTGATAAGGTGTTCAAATGAATGTTTGGTGAGGGCTGAATATAGTGACTGATGGCTCTTTTAGCCACATACCAATGTTCCTTCAAGGGAATACACTGCATTGTTCTGTTTAATACTATGTGTAGTTTCTGCCTAAGCATATATACGATTACGTTGTCCACGTGTTCTGTTTACTATTTTATTCCATATTGTCTTAAAGGTAGGTTGGAGAGGGAGATCCAAAAGACAGAAGCGTTGTTTGAAGAGACTGCTATCTACCAAACAGTGAGGACACATTTAGAGAATTCTAGGCATGTGACAATAACTGGTGCGTCAGGGGATGGAAAGACGTCAATGGCCCTGATGTTGGGGTCAGAATACCTGAAGAAAGGGTATGAACTATATCTTGTAAACAACATTTCAGAATTCAAATTAAGTTGTGTAAGGCAAGACAAAGATCAATGTTTCATATTTGATGACATATTTGGAACGGTTGGAATGTCAACAGATTCACCTCACCTCAGACAGATTTTATATAGCCTCAACTCTTACCTCGAGCGCATGGAATCTAATGTTTCTGAAACGTTACAACCAAACCCAAATTATAAACATCGTTTAGTTCATCCCAACACAATTGTGGGAAACATTGTTATTATATTCACCACAAAGTTGTACAATCTTGAGCATGGAAAATTACACTGTGGAGAACATGATTATGTGTTTTTCAAAGGAGATTCAGTTATTGACCTTACAAAGGCTGACTGTCGCTACACAAGGGACGAAAAGAAAAAAATGTTTCTAAAACATAAACACTATAACAATAACAGAACTAATTTTGATTTAGACACAATATGTGACATTAAGGATCAACTGTTTGGCTTCCCGCTCAAATGCAAACTGTTCTTCAGTTTTCCCCAATTGCATGATCAATATGAAGACTTTTTTAAGACGCCTTTAACCTTTCTCAGGAGAGAACTTGAATCTTTGCTCAACGATAACAATAACAGGTCAGCTGCTCTGATCCTGATGATGCTTTGTGAAGGTAGCCTGAACTTGTGTGAGTTGCAAATTAAATCAAATAATCAAGTTCTGGAGAATCATCTGTCCACAGTTTCAAGTGTTGTAAATGGTTTTAACCGGCTAGAAATTGCCACTTGTGTGAAATATTTATCCGGTACATATTTTACCAGAGGAGACATTACCAGTTTTTCACACCCATCCATCTATGATGCCTGTGCCTTTGTCTATTATGGAATCAATCCTGCTTTTATGTTGAAGTACTGCAGTATAAGATTCCTGTATGGACGTGTTCAGGCCAAAACGGTACCTGCATGCGAGACTGATGAGGACAGGCATGTCATCTATGTATCGGATGCCTACAATGACATCATTGCTTCAAGACTGGCTGGGGCTGTGAGGGAGGGGAACTATCGGATGTCCATCATGCATCCTATTTTGGAAAGACATGCTATAGTGGATAAGGTGCTTGATGAACTCAAACCCTTCCTGTCTCGTACATCAGTGACAGTTGAACATGGCAACAACATGTTTCATTATGCCTGCTTCTCAGGAAACGTGTACCTTGTACGCAAACTAATTCCATTCTGTGAAATCAACAGTAAAGGAATGTGTGGTTTGACGCCAGTAATGATAGCTGTGATGCTGGGGCTGCAGGGTGTGTTTCACCTTCTTGTGTCAGAAGGGGGTGACATCACACTGACAAATAAAGACAATGACAGCTGTCTTCATTTGGCATGCATGAGAGGGCAAAAGCCATTGATAGAATATCTACTGCCAAAGACTGACATAAACATGAGAGGAAATATGGGACGGACACCAGTAATGAATGCAGCTTGGAGTGGAAAGAAAGATGTGTTTGACATCCTTGTGTCAAATGGAGCTGACATCACACTGACAGATAACGACAATAACAACATTCTTCATCTGGCATGCGAAGGTGGAAATAAGCCATTGATAGAATATCTACTGCCAAAGACTGACATAAACAGAAGAGGATATATGGGACGGACACCAGTAATGAATGCAGCCTGGAAAGGAAAGAAAGATGTGTTTGACTTCCTTGTGTCAATGGGAGCTGATATCACACTGACTGATAACGACAATAACAACATTCTTCATCTGACATGTTGGGGAGGAAATAAGCCCTTAGCAGAATACCTACTGCCAAAGACTGATATTAACACAAGAGGAAATAATGGATGGACACCAGTCATGACTGCAGCTTGGAGTGGAAAGAAAGATGTGTTTGACTTCCTTGTGTCAAAGGGAGCTGACATCACCCTGACTGATTACGACAATGACAACATTCTTCATCTAGCATGCGAAGGTGGAAATAAGGCCTTAGTAGAATACCTACTGCCAAAGACTGATATAAACAGTAGAGGAAATATGGGATTGACACCAGTAATGAATGCAGCTTGGAAAGGAAGGAAAGATGTGTTTGACTTCCTTGTGTCAAAGGGAGCTGACATCACACTGACTGATTACGACAATGACAACATTCTTCATTTGGCATGCGAAGGTGGAAATAAGCCGTTAGTAGAATATCTGCTGCCAAAGACTGACATAAACATAAGAGGAAATATGGGACGGACACCAGTAATGAATGCAGCTTGGAGTGGAAAGAAAGATGTGTTTGACTTCCTTGTGTCAAATGGAGCTGACATCACACTGACTGATTACGACAATGACAACATTCTTAATCTAGCATGCGAAGGTGGAAATAAGGCGTTAGTAGAATACCTACTGCCAAAGACTGATATAAACAAAAGAGGAAATAAAGGATGGACACCAGTAATGAATGCAGCTTGGAAAGGAAGGAATGATGTGTTTGACTTCCTTGTTTCAAAGGGAGCTGACATCAAACTGACTGATGACGACAATGACAACATTCTTAATCTGGCATGCGAAGGTGGAAATATGACGTTAGTAGAATATCTACTGCCAAAGACTGATATAAACATAAGAGGAAATAATGGACGGACACCAGTAATGACTGCAGCTTGGAGTGGAAAGAAAGATGTGTTTGACTTCCTTGTGTCAAAGGGAGCTGACATTACACTTACTGATGACAACAATGACAACATTCTTCATCTAGCATGTTGGGGAGGAAATAAGCCCTTAGTACAATATCTACTGCCAAAGACTGACATAAACATAAGAGGAAATATGGGACGGACACCAGTAATGAATGCAGCTTGGAGTGGAAAGAAAGATGTGTTTGACTTCCTTGTGTCAAAGGGAACTGACATCACACTAACTGACTACGACAATGACAACATTCTTCATCTGGCTTGTCGGGAAGGAAATAAGCCGATAGTAGAATATCTACTGCCAAGGACTGATATAAACAAAAGAGGAAATATGGGACTGACACCAGTAATGAATGCAGCTTGGAGTGGAAAGAAAGATGTGTTGGACTTCCTTGTGTCAAAGGGAGCTGACATCACGCTGACTGATTACGACAATGACAACATTTTTCATCTGGCATGCGAAGGTGGAAATAAGCCGATAGTAGAATATCTACTGCCAAAGACTGATATAAACACAAGAGGAAATAAAGGATTGACACCAGTCATGACTGCAGCTTGGAGTGGAAAGAAAGATGTGTTGGACTTCCTTGTGTCAAAGGGAGCTGACATCACGCTGACTGATTACGACAATGACAACATTCTTCATCTGGCATGCGAAGGTGGAAATAAGCCGATAGTAGAATATCTACTGCCAAAGACTGATATAAACACAAGAGGAAATAATGGACGGACACCAGTCATGACCTCAGCTTGGAGTGGAAAGAAAGATGTGTTTGACTTCCTTGTGTCAAAGGGAGCTGACATCACGCTGACTGATTACGACAATGACAACATTCTTCATCTGGCATGCGAAGGTGGAAATAAGCCCTTAGTAGAATATCTACTGCCAAAGACTGACATAAACAAAAGAGGAAATATGGGACGGACACCAGTAATGAATGCAGCCTGGAGAGGAAAGAATGATGTGTTTGACTTCCTTGTGTCAAAGGGAGCTGACATGACACTAACCGATGACTGCAATGACAGCATTCTTCTTCTAGCATGCGAAGGTGGAAATAAGCCCTTAGTAGAATATCTACTGCCAAAGACTGACATAAACAAAAGAGGAAATATGGGACGGACACCAGTAATGAATGCAGCCTGGAGAGGAAAGAAAGATGTGTTTGACTTCCTTGTGTCAAAGGGAGCTGACATGACACTAACCGATGACTGCAATGACAGCATTCTTCATCTAGCATGCGAAAGTGGAAATAAGCCCTTAGTAGAATATCTACTGCCAAAGACTGACAAAAACAAAAGAGGAAATATGGGACGGACACCAGTAATGAATGCAGCCTGGAGAGGAAAGAAAGATGTGTTTGACTTCCTTGTGTCAAAGGAAGCTGACATGACACTAACCGATGACTTCAATGACAGCATTCTTCATCTATCATGCGAAGGTGGAAATAAGCCCTTAGTAGAATATCTACTGCCAAAGACTGACATAAACAAAAGAGGAAATATGGGACGAACACCAGTAATGAATGCAGCTTGGAAAGGAAAGAAAGCTGTGTTTGACTTCCTTGTGTCAAAGGGAGCTGTCATCACAGTGACTGATGATGAAAATAACAACATTCTTCATCTAGCATGTCGAGCAGGAAATAAGCCCTTAGTAGAATATCTACTGCCAAAGACTGACATAAACATAAGAGGAAATATGGGACGGACACCAGTAATGAATTCAGCTAGGAAAGGAAAGAAAGATGTTTTTGAATTCCTTGTGTCAAAGGGAGCTGACATCACACTGAATGATGACGACAATGACAACATTCTTCATCTGGCATGTCGGGGAGGAAATAAGCCCTTAGTAGAATATCTACTGCCAAAGACTGACATAAACAAAAGAGGAAATAATGGACGGACACCAGTAATGAATGCAGCATGGAGAGGAAAGAAAGGTGTTTTTGACTTCCTTGTGTCAAAGGGAGCTGACATCACAATGACTGATGACGACAATGACAACATTCTTCATCTGGCATGTCGGGGAGGAAAAAAGCCCTTAGTAGAATATCTACTGCCAAAGACTGACATAAACAAAAGAGGAAATATGGGACGGACCCCAGTAATGAATGCAGCCTGGAGAGGAAAGAAAGATGTGTTTGACTTCCTTGTGTCAAAGGGAGCTGACATGACACTAACCGATGACTGCAATGACAGCATTCTTCATCTAGCATGCGAAGGTGGAAATAAGCCCTTAGTAGAATATCTACTGCCAAAGACTGACATAAACATAAGAGGAAATATGGGACGGACACCAGTAATGACTGCAGCATGGAGAGGAAAGAAAGGTGTTTTTGACTTCCTTGTGTCAAAGGGAGCTGACATCACACTGACTGATGACGACAATGACAACATTCTTCATCTGGCATGTCGGGGAGGAAAAAAGCCCTTAGTAGAATATCTACTGCCAAAGACTGACATAAACAAAAGAGGAAATATGGGACGGACCCCAGTAATGAATGCAGCCTGGAGAGGAAAGAAAGATGTGTTTGACTTCCTTGTGTCAAAGGGAGCTGACATGACACTAACCGATGACTGCAATGACAGCATTCTTCATCTAGCATGCGAAGGTGGAAATAAGCCCTTAGTAGAATATCTACTGCCAAAGACTGACATAAACAAAAGAGGAAATATGGGATGGACACCAGTAATGAATGCAGCTTGGAGAGGAAAGAAAGATGTGTTTGACTTCCTTGTGTCAAAGGGAGCTGACATGACACTAACCGATGACTGCAATGACAGCATTCTTCATCTAGCATGCGAAGGTGGAAATAAGCCCTTAGTAGAATATCTACTGCCAAAGACTGACATAAACAAAAGAGGAAATATGGGACGGACACCAGTAATGAATGCAGCTTGGAAAGGAAAGAAAGATGTGTTTGACTTCCTTGTGTCAAAGGGAGCTGACATCACACTGACTGATGATGAAAATAACAACATTCTTCATCTAGCATGTCGAGCAGGAAATAAGCCCTTAGTAGAATATCTACTGCCAAAGACTGACATAAACAAAAGAGGAAATATGGGACGAACACCAGTAATGAATGCAGTCAGGAAAGGAAAGAAAGATGTGTTTGACTTCCTTGTGTCATTGGGAGCTGACATCACACTGACTGATGACGACAATGACAACATTCTTCATCTAGCATGTCGGGGAGGAAATAAGGCGTTAGTAGAATATCTACTGCCAAAGACTGACATAAACAAAAGAGGAAATATGGGACGGACACCAGTAATGAATGCAGCTTGGAAAGGAAAGAAAGATGTGTTTGACTTCCTTGTGTCAAAGGGAGCTGACATCACAGTGACTGATGATGAAAATAACAACATTCTTCATCTAGCATGTCGAGCAGGAAATAAGCCCTTAGTAGTATATCTACTGCCAAAGACTGACATAAACAAAAGAGGAAATATGGGACGGACACCAGTAATGACTGCAGCATGGAGAGGAAAGAAAGGTGTTTTTGACTTCCTTGTGTCAAAGGGAGCTGACATCACACTGACTGATGACGACAATGACAACATTCTTCATCTGGCATGTCGGGGAGGAAAAAAGCCCTTAGTAGAATATCTACTGCCAAAGACTGACATAAACATAAGAGGAAATGTGGGATTGACACCACTAATGACTGCAACTGTGAATGGAAAGAAAGATGTGTTTGACTTCCTTGTGTCAAAGGGAGCTGACATCACACTGACTGATGACGACAAAAACAACATTCTTCATCTGGCCTGCGAAGGCGGAAATAAGCCGTTAGTAGAGTATCTACTGCCAAAGATGGACATCAACTGTCATGGGAAGAGAGGGTGGACACCAGTAATGAAAGGAGCTTACAGTGGGAAAAAGGATACATTTGAACTGCTTCTCTCCAAGAGAGCTAACCCATCACTCACTGGTGATGACAATGATACTTTACTCCATGCAGCCAGTAGAGGTGGAAACATTGACATTGTCAGACATGTTATTGGTGACTTTGACATCAACACACGTGGTTGGAAGGGTCACACGCCACTCATGCTAGCTGTGGCTGGAGGTCACACTGATGTAGTTGACTTCCTGGTGGACCATGGTGCTGACGTCAACGTGGTGGACAATGATGGAGATGGTATCCTCCATTTGGCTTGTGAGAAAGGCAACTTGAAGATGGTGAAGCATGTCATATCATATTCTGATATTAACCTGAGAGATAACTTTGGTTGGACACCGTTGTCAATGGCAGCTGTGGAAGGTAAATTTGCTGTTTTTAAATATCTTAAAGGCCTAGGAGCAGATCTGACACTGAAAGACAGGGCAGGAGATGATGTGTATATTCAGGCCCTCCAGGGAGGATGCAGGGGAATCATCAAGGAGTTAGGACTAGAGGAACATTCAGGCAAGAGCATCACACCATGGAATCGACTGATGAAGACACTTGTGAAATCAAAAATGGTCTACCTGAAGACATATTCACAACAAAGTCCTGACCTTGTTCAGACAGACCGATTTGGAAATAGTTTACTACATCTGGCCTGTCGAGGAGGCAACAAACAGTGTGTGGAGTATCTGCTCCCATCCTATGACATCGATGTCCGAGGTCGCTATGACTGGACACCGGTGATGATGGCGGCTGTGTGTGGACACGAGGATGTCTTCCAGGTACTGGTGTCTCACAAGGCAGATCTGTCTCTAGTCTCAAATACAGGAGAAAACATCACCACCCTGGCTCGCCATGGCAACAACGACGGCATTGTCAAGTATTTATTGGAGAAGTCTTGAAATACACATGATGAAGCCTATTTTCAACTAGTTTTGCCCTCGCCAGTCATTCCTAGACAATAACATTTGATTTGTTCACTTTTTCTAATAATATTATCAACAACAATATTAGACCTATTATGTTATGAACGTTGTTCCGAGTGAATCAACAGTTTCACTGAGTTATTTCCCCCTAACAGTCATTCATGGACAATACCTAGCTGTAAGTAAGAGCTGTCACCTACATGTATGTGTACTAACGGGGGAAAGTAACTGTGCTTCATATAAAGTGGTGTACATGTTATGCTATTGAAAATAACAACACACCATTACGTCCTTCACATGATCGATGTTTTATCATAACAAATTAATTTACAAAGCCCATACCTGGTAACACGAGACAGAGCGACACGCCCTCAACAGAATCCCCATAAATATCATTTGCGTTGATGCAGAGGAGTCAGCAGCGGCGCGTTAAAGACACCCGGTGATTTAAAACAACCTGGGGAATGCTGTCCTAAATGTCAACCAAAGATTGGCCCAACTAAGCTGGGCCCAATGTTGCAGTGGTCTGCAGAAACAGACAGCCATGGCAGTGTCAATGTTATACCGTCTCAGAAAGTATGTTACAACAAGTGCAATGTGTGGACAACACTATCCTGCTGCAACGTGACGTTACGTCCCTGTATTTGCACAAAGAGTAGAACATAATGATGTCGTCCCGGTAGCGTACGCCGTTCCAATTGGCAGTAACACTGATGAGTTGCCTGAGTTGTGAGGCATCGACATCCCATTACACTTCCACTCCTAAACTAATGATATTGAGCATTGCAGGCGTCGCTAACACGTTCACCTGGACGCATGTAGAGCCGTGTACGACCGTCAAAGCTGTCAATATGAAACCTGGACTCTGTGAACAGTATACTGTTCCAGTCTTTTCTTCTAAATCTCAGAGGCTGTCTACACCAAGCTAGAAAGTAAATTTGGGCCTATCGATGGGACGTCGGGAGCGGAAATTGTGCTCCCTCAGTCGGTTGCGAACGGTTTGAGCTGTTTATCTGGCAGTTTGGTATCGATTACGTAGATGCACCAACCGAATACGGTTGTCTTGCTGACTTGGCCGACCTTCATTTGCGGATAACAAATGTATGGCATGGGCACCTAATAGCATTGTGTGCTGTTCATATTTGAAAAACAACAACAGTGAAGCCCATTTCTGATGTCCCCCGCCGTGATATTGCTGGAATATTGCTATAAGTGGTGTAAAACCATACTCACTCACTCACTGAAAAAAAACTACCTTGTGTATCACTCCCCGGCCAAACAAACACGAATTCATTCAAAGTGTGTGCAGGTGTAAACTGTGAATCACGCCCTTAAAGACTTCATGAATATGCATTATTGAATTTTCAGAATAAATATACTATTTATTGATCTTTATATGAAGCACAGTCACTTCTTTTCCTTTGGTATATTTATTTTGCCATAGTAATTGCTTTGTTCACTTTGTCGAAAGTATTTCAAAGACAATATCAGCATAGAGTAGCTGCAATGAAATTATATTTATAAGTTAATAGCAGGTTCTGCTGTGTACATAACTGTTTGAGACAGGTAATAATATGGAAGGTCGTCCTACATTTAGTTGCCAAGACAAGTGACAAGTGATGCATCGCAGAAACAAGTGTATCATGCTGTTGTCGGGTAAAAAGTGTACACCGCATGTGCTAGAAACAATACAGAACGAACACCTAACACTGGATACCATCGTAGCTTCTAACAAGGCCCACTCTTGGGACAATCGGAAGTTTAATGCTTCTGGATGTACTAGTTGTGTTATTGTCATACCCTCTATAGTTTTGAAGTAGTAGTAGAATTGAATTACGCTAGTGGCAGTGGATTGTGCATATTGAACATAGTTTGAACACTCTCTAGTTGTTTGTGTTAGTGTCCGAGGTCGGTGTGACTGGACACCGGTGATGATGGCGGCTCTGTGTGGCCATGATGATGTCTTCCAGCTGTGTGTGGAGTATCTGCTCCCATCCTTTGATACAACGTCCGAGGTCGGTGTGACTGGACACCGGTGATGATGGCGGCTGTGTGTGTCCATGATGATAAGTGTTGATAAAATAACGGAACTAGAACCTGATTTTCAAAAAAAATATTTGTTTTATATTGGGATGCATACCAATATGGATTGTGCATGGCTTCCTGTTAGAGAAGCATTACATATGTATAACATGTTTGAAACAAAACATGCGAAGATTATTCCCGTGTGACTTGTGACAAGGGCAGGACACCAGTGATGATAGCAGATGAGTAGTGATGTGCTAGGATAAATTAATGTGTAAGTCTAAATATTGTATATACTATGAAGCTTAATCTGAATTGCAATGACACATAATATAAAAAAAAACATTGCACGTGGCACATGTATAACAGAAGCAGCTGTATCACAATGTGTGAAATACAGCTTCCATGGAAGAATCCATGTTCAAGGTACCAGGGCCACCACCAGACAGTTTACTCATTCTTGATGGTGAATACCCAGCATTATGTACACCCTCGAAACAAACAGTAGTACCTGATACATTATAGGGGCTTCCTTACATGATATATATATATATATGTATATATATATATATATATATATATATATATATATATATATATATATATATATATATATATATACTATACTTTATATTTACTTTAGATGATTTTGTCATATGCTGTATACACAATGTTACTGAATTGTTACCACTGGACAATTGTATTTATCCTTTCACTATATGTTCTACCAATACTTCCAAAAACACTGTATTGGCTTCTTTGTGACATTGAGTTAATTGCCCATCACTCCACACAGCCAGAAGCAGATGTATCAGATTCCATTATTCTGAACAAAATAGCTTCTGTGCTAGAATTAAATAACAATACCAAGCCGTGTATAGAAACGTTCTGTGCCTAACATAATGTGTAATCGTGTATTAAATTTGTACATAAGATTTGATTTGTATGCATGTTTTGGCAATGACAATATCATGTCAATGTTGTCATAAATTAAAATGTTTCTCCTAGGGGTTAGTTGGCCTTGCAGGGTCATTGACCCTGTTTCGGTGCATAACAAGGACGTATTTCTTGCGATTAATTGACAGTTTAAGAATTGCAGGTTGGATTACGTTCTATTTCGTTTCTACTTTGCTTTATCATCACTTTCCCTCCTTTGTGGTGGTGCTCTTATTTACAACTAAATGAAGATTCAAAATATTTCCGACTTTCCATATTTAGATTTGGTCATAGACAAATAACAAATCAATCTCGTCCTATTTGTTCACAGTTTTAAGTTTGTGGGACATATAACAAGAAATGGTAGTATTCATTAACTCCAATATCATTAACAACATCAACAAATAAAAACAGCAGAAAGCAACTCTGTTCTATATATTAACATTCAACATTCAGGAGCTGTGATGTTACAAACACGTTATATTTACCATATTGTGTTGTTGTATTTTAGATATACTTTGTAATTAACTCATATGCTTCTCTTGTGATGTTAGATAAGTGTGCAGGGTAACTAAGTCTAAGTATGTGCATACCAAGGTAACATGACGATTACTGAATACTTTACCATGTCTTAGATCTGTACCGCATATAATGTTTAATGAGTAGGGAACTGCAAAGACCAGTCTTTATTAATGTCTTGTGATTTTGTCATATGCTGTATATATATACTGCAATGTTATTTGACTGTCACCAGGTGCTATTTTGAAATTGTGTTTACTATTTCATAATACGTTCTTCTGATGCCTCCCACAACAAACAAAATAATACCTTTAATGGGATAATTAGCCATGCGTAGTAAAACAACTGTATTTATTTCCTTTGTGAGAGAGATTATGTTTGTTATACAATTAATTGTGTCTAAGACGTGCATTACTTCGGGCTTTCCTCCCACATTAAGCTGACACGCCGTGATATAACTGGAATATTGTTAAAAGCAGCGTTAAACCCAACTCATTCACTCAATATGCTGCCGTCATATAGCTGGAATATTGCTGAGTGTGGCGTTTGACGACAAAAAACATACAAACGATGTCTATGCGGCAATGTTTTTGAATTGTTACCACCGAACAACTGTATTTATCCTTTCACTGTATGTTCTACTCATGCTTACAAACATAAAACTAATGGCACTTTTAATTGGATAGTTAGCTGTGCGGTGTAAACCACCTTTATTGGATGACTTTCTGACATACACACCCACGATACACACCCAAAAATCTTGTCACAGGAATACGTTATTTTGTTTATTAATTTCAATAACGTTAAAAAACTCAACACATGCAAATGATGCTAATGATGCATTGAGCAAGGACTTGGATGTAAACAAATTTGTTTACCAAATTTTGTTACGCTATGCATATTTTGTAAATAATTTATGTGCTTCTCCGAGGGTTTTATATTTCTGTGCAGGGTAGTCTACCCTGAATGTGTGCATACCAATGTAACAGGACGATTACTAAACACTTTACTATGTGTTTGATTTGTACAGTATATGATGTTTAATCAGTAGGGATTTGTAATGAAAAATCATTATTTGTTTCATGTGGTTTTGCCACATGCTGTACATATTGCAATGTTATTGAACTGTCACCAGATGCTATCTGAAGATTGTATTTACTATTGCCTTATATGTTCAACTAATACTTACCAAAACACACCAGATTATATGTTTCATTGGAGAATTAGCTGTACATTTGATGTGAACTGCGTGGTTTCATGTCTTAGAGCTACTGTTTTTTAGACTCACTAGCATACACATTTATTTCCCTGTTCAAAATATGCTTGATACTGTCATTTGAAAATGTAAAACTGTTTCTTTTTGTTGTATTGATGGTGTAGCCGGTGTTTTAAACAGAATGGAGTGTCATATATGTTCTGACTATCCCTGTTTATATTTGACCATATTACATAAACACTCAACCTCGTCTCATTTGTTCACCATCAAAAATTTATGTGGCATATCACAAGGAATTGTATAAATGATGAACTTCAATAACATTATCTGAGCCAGGACATTCAAATATCCTTGAATCCATTCTTCCAGATATATGAGGAGTCAGCATCGAGCAAAGACACGTTGTTTCAAACATGAACTTTACCATATTGTTTTACAATTTTGCATTTATATTTGTAATAAATTAAGTGCTTCCTTTAGGGTGTTAGATAACTGTTGAGCGTAACTAACCCTGATTGTGTGTTTATACAAGGTAACAGAACCAACGCTAAACAATTAACTACATGTAATATACTTTCACAGTAGATATCATATGATGTATGTTATGGAATCGTTACAATATGGCAGAGCAATGACCAGAATGTTATCATCTTTTTTATGTCTTGGTTACAACAGTTTGTGTATACTTTACAGTTAGCAATAAATAATTCGAAACTTGAATACATTTCCTCTTGCACTTCACGTCATCATAGCTGGATCTACACCTATGCCGTTCACTCGTCACTCGGGGCGGTCGGGTAGCCAAGTGCTTAAAGCGTTTGCTCGTCACGCCGAAGACACGGGTTCGATTCCCGACATGGGTACAATGTGTGAAGCCAATTGCTGGTGTCCTACGACGTGATATTGCTGGTACATTGCTAAAAGCGGCGTAAAACCATACTCACTTACTCACTCGTCATGCAAGGTTCGAATCCTGACATGTGTGAATGTCTGGTTTATCCCATCGGGACACTGCTACCTCAATCACTTGAATTCGTTTATTCCAAGTCAAGATTAGAGAGGTGTTAGATGGCCAGAGTCTTTGAACACGTTTGATCTTCTTGTTAAATGTGTCCACACACTTAAGAGAATATTGTTTTGTTCCTTGTAAATCGTTCATATTAAAAATAGGGTAAGGTTAAGTAAAAAGTAAGTGATTTGTTTTAATGTCATGTTTGACCAACTCTGCATTATGATATATCCATGGCGCACACGGCAACAATAATATGATAATGTCTGCATATTTAGAAATATTATGGGTAAACAGCTACTTGTTTCATTTCTGCTAAGACCTTTTTCTCTGGTATATAAAATATCTAAATTGCAATGCTGACGGCAATTGTTACCAGCGACTGTCTCTGTCTCTGTCTCTGTCTCTGTCTCTGTCTCTGCCTCCTCGAGTCAATTGCCCTCCCAGACATCATGTACTGGAAAGGCAGGTTGACAAAAATATGTGTTAAAGACGGTTCGCGAAAACGTGGGGTGAATGAGTTATAATGAGGTGGGAATTAATTACGACTAAAGGAAGACACTGAAGCGTCAGTCCTAAGCATGGTGTCTCAATGGTCTGGCACGATAGTCAGGACTAATACAAGCAGCTACACACACGTGCATGTACGTCGATGTATAAGTGAAAAAGATGTCGAAAGCGTTTATAAGAGCCCATTTGTCATGTCTCTCCTGTAACTAATGGGTACAGGTGGACTGTTTATAGTCATTTGCCTCATCCAACTCAGTATCCCTTTGTGGAACATGGTGCGTGCACACATAGCTTTAAAGTTAACATTTTAACTCATCTTTTAATTTTGTCAACTAAAACAGTGGCATAAATTACTGAGGATTATGTGTGTTTGATGCCATCTGCGGCCATACTGACCTCCAACACTGGAACATTCGCTGCCGTCCTGGTTTATGCGCCACTTAAAGGATCACATTCTAAACTCCCACACTGGAACATTCGCTGCCGTCGTGGTTTATGCGCCACTTATAGGATCACATTCTAAAATCAGGGACAACAGTAGAACACGGTTTAGTCAGGTGAAGAAGGAAGATATGTGTTCCGGTTTCAGCACATCATTACAAACAGTTTTAGATGCATGTATTGTGAAAGGTCATAGTCAGTGACTGGTATCACGTAATTACAGTCGTGTTCCTATTCGAGTCTATATATAGAAATTCAAAATGATGGCAAGCCCTGTTACCAAACGGCATGACAATAGGGAAGAGTTCGACTTCCAATAATGAATTGCCCCTCCATGCTGAGCAATGTACAATTTAACTTTCGTGGAAAGGCACATTTTACGCTTTTCAATCAAGATTTGACATCATAGGCGTGGTCATTAAATTCTAGAAATTGTAATGTGGACATACGTAGTGACGTATGTACAATCCACCTTATTCCACAGAGTAGGACATTGGCTCCTGTAGATATCACAGACAAACACGCCATTAACAACCCGATAAAAAGATAAGATCAAAGCACAATTTCGACACTGGCGTATCTGAATTCAACCGAAGCACGAGAAACATATGAATGAGTTAGGAAAGTAGGCCGTCAGGTCATCACGATGGAGTAGCAAATCAAAGTTCGAGATTTTGATACCACAGATATGTTTATACTACTAATTCTTGCAGCCTTAGAAACACTGCGTAAGTTACTTTTTATATTTGTCCCAAGTATACAGAATGCTTGAGTAGCAGTGGTGACAGTAACTGTTTTTACTACATAGGTGAGGTGAGCTACAGCGCCCTGACACTATTATTGTGTTGTATATACACTCGTGAACATTGAATCGTGATTGTTAGTCCCGTGTTGTTGTTGCATATCCTTT